CTCTGGGCAGGGATAACCAGAGGAAGGAAACAGCCTGGTGCTGTTCTACAGCAGCGCCCAGTGAGACCAGTTCAGCTGGGCAGACCCAGACCAAGGGCCCAGCAGATTCTTCTTCAGAGGTGGACATCGCTCAGCCCGTGTTAAGGACACGGCATTCAAGGGAAGGATAGCCAAAGATCACTTGCTGGGCTCAAGATCCCCATAAGAAATGCTTTGAGCAGGAGCTCGCTGCCCAGCTCTGCTGTCCAGGGCTGTTCGGGAACACGGAGCACAGCGCTGCCGCATCCGGCACACTGCTAGGGCGACCAAGAAAGCACCGAGCGGCATCTGTGCACCGCTGAGGTTAACTGAGCACCCAGGGAGATTTTTAGTCGTTTTGGTTTTTGTTATATGCTTGTACCGTTCTCCGGTTTTTTGAAGCTGGACTCCAGGCTCCCGATTCCCACTCCGCTCCTGTACGGCACTTACACCTGAGAAAATCACAGCGCGCTTCAAACAACTTTACTGCTGGCTTCCAAAAAGAGGTGAGGGTGTTTTTATCTTTAAATAAGTGCACCCTCTGACAAAGGCAGGGTACGGGGCAGGTGCAGCAAGACTTCTTGGAGAGGTACAGCAACAGGAGAGGCAACGGGCAAAAGAGGCAGCAACAGAAAGTCCAACAGGACATAAAGAACCTCCCCAGGAGCGTGGCAGCCCTGGGACAGGGCTCAGCGAACCTTCCTCCACGGAGGTTTCAAAGCTCAGCCGACTGACAGCCTGAGCAGCCTCGCCTAAGCCTGACGCGGATCGCAGACCTCCGGAGGCCCCCTCCCACCTCCGTCATTCCGCAATTTCATCAGCACATCCGCTGCCAAGAAAACAGACTGTGCAGCATCTGAAATATTCTGACAGTTTCTAGTAGTTCAGCACACACGGCTTAGTGTCACCACCGGGACACTTGAATATCTTGACATCTTCATGCTGCCGCCGGGCTCCACAGCTGTAAATTTACGCCCAGTTAGAGCCACGCGCTGCGATTCAGCAAAGAGCCATCCACTGGCTGCGGAGGCAAACCACTATATCATCACCCGGGATCTCACCGGCCGTCGACAGCAGCAGAGATGATCTCTCTCGGTACGTCCCAACCCTCGTGGAATAATCTTAGGCACGCTCAAGAAGCTGGTTCACTTTAATTTGAACTCAAAACCCCAGCTGGGATACTGTTTGCACAATTCAGTGTATGCCAGAAATAAGCTCTGTCCTTACTATAATTATGTTTTTTTGGGTGGATCAACCCTAAAACTTTTTTTTTTTTAAACCACCACTGGTTCTGATAAGGTCAAAACTAACTGTTGGCAGACAGCAACACGGGAACCCCTCTGCAAGAGCCGCTGGGACAGCCAAGGGCAGGGCCCCACGCCCCCGTGCTCCGTGTCCGTTCCACACCCAGCTCCTCCGCAGGCAGAGCAGCGGGGGAACGGAGCGTTTAAGCACCAGGCAAAGTAACACGACCCAGCAGCGAGCCGTGCCCAGTGCGCACAGAATGATATCATTTCTCTTAATTCTGGGCATTCTGAATTAATGTCTATTTTTCACCACCAAAAACATCTCCAGCAACAGCAAAGCAGCCTCTCACCGGCTGCTGGGAGGGAGTTAGCTGAACCCAGGACAGGGACCGTGGCTCCCACACCTGGCTTTTGGACTGAAATTCTTTCAAAGAGCCTGACAACACCACCTGGTCGCTGCCACGATCCTGCTTGCTGCTCCCATCTCCCGTCACAGCGTCCTCCCCGTCGTCCACGCCC